ACCTGTTAAATATAACATATTACACAAATTAATCTGTTTTTTTTATATTGGTCAAAATTGTCATCTTTTTAGTATAAACAAGTTTTTAATTAGATCATATTATCTGCTTAGGGGCCGTTTACCAAACGCTTACCTGGGTAATCGCTTACCAAGTAACATTAATTCATCGGATGAATATGGTAAAAATCAAAAATCTTACCCGGTAAGAGCGAGACAAGAACCAAGAGTCTTACCCAGTAAATGAGGGCGACGACTCTTACCACAGTAGCACTTATCGGGTAAATTGTTGCATATTATGTCGTTTTTGTGGACTAAAATCTTACCCGGTAAGTAGATAATAGTGTTAAATTTTACTGGTAAGCACTTATTGGTTAAGTGTTTGGTAAACGGCCCCTTAGTATATAAAATTAATTCCCTCTTATGTAGACTCTCTAAATTTACCTCTTGATATGATAATCCATAAGACCGTAACTATTCAATGAATTCACGATAATAAGCAAATTAACAGTCCGGACTTCCAACAGCCATCGTCTGTCAACCACTGATCACCACCATAGTTGGTCCGCCAACAACCCTAGTTTCTTCTCAGACTTTAATTCACTTCTCTTTGTTTCTCCAACCCCCTATCGTATGTTACCCATCTTTGCATTTCATTTAGGTTGCTTCATAGCCATGCAGGGGCCGTTTACTAAACACTTACCCGGTAAGCATTTACTGGGCAATTTTCCTTATCAGATGAACATGGCAAGGGACAAAAATCTTACCCGGTAAGAGCGATGATAAGAATGGAGAGTCTTACCCGATAAGTGGGGGTGACGACTCTTATTCGGGTAAGCACTTATTAGGCAAATTGTTGCATAAGATATGTTTTGATAGACTACAATCTTATCCGATAAAATAAATTATAGTGTTGACTTTTAACGGGAATTGCTTACAGGGTAAGCATTTAGGTAAACGGCCCCGCACTCAATTTGATTTATCTTTTATCATAGGGGGCCAAATAATCTAACAGTTCGACCAATAAATTCATATGAATCAATATTTGAGTCAATTCATTTCAATATTAGAAATAAAATTATTTTTTTTTAATTTTTTTTTTCCAGATATTAAGCTCTTATTCCACCCTTTAATTTTTAATATTGTTTCCTATAACAACTTTAATTTTTGCATATTTGTTTGTAATTACTGATTTAAACATCTTAATCAAAACCACAAGGGTGGTATCTGATTGGTTTATGCTTGGCTCCAGAGGTCAAAAGTACCAGGAGGTCTCAGGTTCAAATCCAAGGAGGAATAAAAATCCCTTTGTGGTCACGGAGGTTCAAATGTGATGACTTTGGGCTATCTGCAAAGCAGGTGGTCGTCCTGGGATTAGTCGGCTCGCATAGCGGGTTGGATATCCAGGTTAATAAAAAAAACATCTTAGTCAACGATATCTTTTCAAATGTGATTATATTTGTAGGAACCAATTCAAATAATAAGACAAAATATCGTTAGAATATAAAAATGGAATATTCATATGTGAATCATAAAAAAAATCCAAAAAACATCTATTTAAAGATGCATAGATAAACCAACGTTACAGATTATTCATATGAGTTCACATATGAATTCTTAAATGGTTTTTTTTTCAATGTATGAACTTTCCACTAACCTTATTATTCCCGATTACATTTGTATAGATATATATTTTCTAAAACATGAGTCGTTTTGCGATGAGGGTACATTTCAGTTACATTTTACCTTATGATATCAGTATTTTCTTTTGACAACAAATTCAATATATAATAGTTTTTTGGTTAAAAAGTTAATTACCAACAACCACAACTGGTTTTATATAGAACTCGAATCCAAAGACACCAATATAAAGATGCATTTTTGACTCACTTAGCGTCTGAGGCTAACCAAGGATAAGATGGGCTGAGATCGAACCCGAAATTTGTCTTGTATTTAGGCAAATCGCCTCACCCTTTTCTGAATTACATGCGATAGGCTAAGGGGTCGTTTACCAAACACTTACCCGATAAGTGCTTACCGGAAAAAATTAACACTATCATTTACTTACCGGGTAAAATTTTTGTCCATCAAAACGGCATTGTACGCAACAATTTACCCGGTAAGCACTTACCGTGATAAGAGTCGTTGCTCTCCCTTACCGAGTAAAACTTTTGGTATTTGTCTTGCTCTTACCGGGTAAGATTCTTGGTTCTTACCATATTTACCCAATAATGTAATGTGATTTGGTAAACACTTACTTAGGTACGCATTTGGTAAACGGCCCCTAATATACAATAGTTTTATAATGATACATTAAAAAAAATATGACCTCTCAAAAACAAATTGATTAAAACATGACTTTTGTTACAACTTATTAGTACAATAACATTTAAGATGTGAGAAAAACATGTTTTTAAAACATTGATGGGTCCCTCCTAAAAAAAGATTGATGTAGGTAAATTTAAAAAAACTAGAAGGGTATTCGTGCAATGCTGTAAGATACATCTCGATTTTAATGTTTCATTTTATTCTGTCAACGTTGATGTTATAATACGATTTTATGTGGTACTGAAGAAACGATAATGTTTTTATTTTTTTTGAATAAAATATAAATTTGAAGGTATCATAAAATTTTGAAAAAAAAATGTATCGACTTTAGTATCAAATTAAATATTTAAAAGTTCTTGTTTTTTTGTAATTTCTTTAATTCAATTTTTTATTATAATTTAATTTTGATTTAATAATGAAGCCATTTATTTTTTGTTTAATAATATAATTATTTATAAAAATAATACTTAGTATTTTGTTAGAATTCAATAATTATCCTAAATATATTTTAGATCTTTTATATTTAAAATAAGATCTTTATCCAGTATTTGATTATGTTTATCTGCAGTTAGTTACACGAACTCAAACATGGAGTTTTAATAAGTTGTACATACGCACAATTTTCTTATAATCTTGAATTTTAAGTAATATACATCAATAAACAGTACTTAATGCATAAAAAATGATTTTTAAAAGTTTTTGTCAAATGTTTTATAATATAGTATATATTATATACTAATTGTTTTTATAATAGCTAATTTATGAAACAAAAATAATTATAAGATGGAATGTTGTATTTAAGAAAGGACAATTTTTATAATATAAATTATGAGTAAACTACCATTTTTTTGTCTATGTTTTTGTTAAAATTACAATTTTTCCCCTGTAGTTTATAAATTACAATTTTTATCCTTATAACTTATAATTTATTATTACTTTCGTTCTTATAATTAATAGACTATTATTATTTAGGTCCTTATGATCTAAAATTCTTTATCGTTTTGGTCCGTTGTAGTTAAAAGGTAGGATTTAGTGTAGGGGATGAAAATTACAATAAATTACAAATCATAAAGATGAAAATCACAATTTCTAACATGTGAGAAGACTTTTCAAAGTTGATTTTTTTTTATTAACCTGGATATTCAACCCGCTATGCGAGCCGACTAATCCCAGAGCGACCACCTGCTTTGCAGTAACCCGGAGTCACCGCATTTGAACCTGCGTGGCCACAAGGGGATTTTTATTCCTCATTGGATTTGAACCTGAGACCTCTTGATACTTTTGACCTCTGAAGTCAAACTCAAATCAATCAAGCACCACCCTTGTAGTTAAGTTGATTTAGCAATTGAGGCTAGTAGAGGGTTCAAAGTCCATCTCCTACATGATTCAAACTTGAACCTGTTTTTATTTGATATTGTTACCGAGGATCGGCCCGAACCGATCAATCCCTATTTTTTGAAAGAAAAAATTTAGAATAGAACCGGTTCTTATTTGGACCAAATAAAACATGGTGAAAAACCCAATTAAAGTAGAATTAGAATTTAGGGGTAATTACAAATTTGGTCTGTGTGGTTTGTCAAAAATAACACTTTTTGTCTTTGCAGTGTTAAATTACAAGATGATCATTGTAATTTGAAAAAAAATGTCTGGATTTGGTTCTTTTCTTTAACAGTTGTTAAAAGAACTCAGTTAAATGTGAGACATCATCATTCTTTTTTGTCTTTTTATATGATTAAAATCAATTTTTTGATTTTGGACCATGTGGTTTTTTATTGTCGTAAAGGACAAAAAAAAAAAAGATACCCCTTTATTTAACAAAAACTTTTAAAGCCTTATAATGAGAGATCAAATTGAAAACATTTTTATAAATCACAATAACGAAGGATTGAAAAATATTATTTTTAACAAACCACACCTAGGGGTGTTCATGGATTGGGTTGATTGGGTCGAAGACATTTGAATAACCCAACCCAATATTTGCGGTTTGAAAAATCTTAACCCAACCCAACCCGTACCAGTTGGTCGGGTTGATACTTTGGTACATTAAAATATTCATCTAACCTGGAATATGTTATTTCTCTACTCATAACTTCTTTTTCATCATCAACAATTTATTACAACTTATCCATACTTCTTACGTATATCACATTCCGTTATTTTTCTCAATTTATATATGTTCACATTTACTGAACATATATGCGAATAGATTGAAAATATGTGTATATGAAGAGCATACATGATAATGTAATTGTCTAATGTACATATTAATAAAAATTCAACAATCATATTAAATCCAAAAAATAAAAGGATATCAGGTTCATCGGGTTGAGTTGAGTTCAAATAATAGTAACCTAATATCAATTCAATACCTACGGTTTAACAATTTTACAACCCGATTAGAAATCAAAGTTACTTTAAATTGAGTTATTTTTTGTTGAGTTGGGTTGGGTTGATTGATCGGGTTGGCTAGGGTTTTACCACTAACCACACCTACCAAATTTATATTCTAAAATTTAATATGCGAATAAATGTGTTAAATGTGTTAACACATGTGTTAGGGTTTTACCACTAACCACACCTACCAAATTTATATTCTAAAATTTAATAAGGGAATAAATGTGTTAAATGGATTTCGAGGGGGTTTAGTATAAATTAATGATTTGCTTTTTTATGGTGGGAGTTTTAGGCCACAACAATATCTGATTAAATCCTACCACCCACGGATCGTGCAGGTGAATGAATTGTACCTAGTCACCGTTCCGTCGACGGAGATACATCGGTGAATCATAATTCGGCCGTCGAATCGATGCATCAGCCGTTGCTTGAACTAGGTTTGTCAATTTCAGCTTTGAAGTTCATCTGTCCTATAACTTTGATCGATTCGTTAGCATATGTAGTTTAAACTCTATTCTGCAACGCCGTGATTCCGAGTGTTTGAGCCTTTTCCTTTTGCTAAGTTCTTCTTTCAAATTTAAACAAGGATAACGAAGTGTGTTGCAGTTTACTTTGATATATCCTTCTGCTTTTGGTGCTTGTGCTTACAATTGAAATCGGATAACTGGACTCGATATAAATTGAGAAGTTTAAGTTTTTCGAGAAAAAATTGGCAAGCCTGTTGAACTTTGTAGTCATTTCGAAATTTACAGCAACATCATGTGGGTTCTTCATTTTAAGAGTGTAATTTAGCATAAAACTGGAGGTTTTTTCCCTCTTGAATAGACTAATGATTAATGAAGTCGTTATATGTGTGCGTGAGTCTAGTTGGTAAGTTTGATGACAATGGTTACAATTTTGACCTTTGAGGGTGGTTTTTTTGGACCAGCTATGTGAAGTTCATCCTCTCTGTGAGAATATGTGGAACGAATACTCTCCACAAAGACTAGATCTCTTTTTCTAACATATATGAAGAAGAAATGGTCTAAGTCCAGCCATTGTGGGATTCCAACATGCCCCCTCCAAGAGAGGTGACATGGACACAGATTGTCCCAAGTCCAGAGGGGACTACAGGCCCAAAATGTCAAGTCCCTAGAGTGGTAGACATAGAGGAGGAGAGTATAGATTAGATGTTGGCTAAGATACATGATACAAACAGTGGGTTCAAGAAGCCATTGATAGAGAAGATGACAGGGTTTTCTCATCATGGACTGAAGAAAGAGCGTCAAATACAGTACAAGGAAACAAGAGCGTCAAATACAGTACCTATCTCAACTATACACTGATTACAAAACTAGTCCTTGATATGTATACAAAGCTATAATAGTAATGGGTAATCTGTTACCTTTTAAATCGGTTAATTCTTTGACTTTTTTGCTTGTGTGGCTTTAATGAGGTGATATGGATGACATATCATTTTGATGACTTAACTAAAATTAAATTAAAAACATATTTCAAATTATTATTAGTGATTTTCATTTTTCATTGCTATTATCTAAAAAAACATTTAATTTTTTTTTACTTTTTCTTATTAAGTTGCATTTAAATTAAATATTYTTARAGTAAAATATTTATTAAATAAATATGCAACATTATTTTCGAGATATATTTTATTTGTAAAAAAGACAACTTTTCCTATTTTATGTTGTTCAAATAAATTCATATCTTTTAAAGTTCTCTTTAAAATATTAACGAAATAAATTGTTATCTACAATTTTTTAATATTRTTATATTAATAAATACTTCAAAAAAATCTAATTAATTTAATATATTTATACGTCAAGTAAAAAGTTTTTAAACAAATATAATATATTCGTCAAGTAAAGATAATATTTTTTGGTAAAAAAAGAACAATTCTTATTTTCCTATTTTCAAAAAACATATATTTTATTAAAAATATTAACGAGATAAGTTGTGTTCCACTAGTTTTATTGATATTGGTATATTAATGAATAATTTAGAATTTTTTAATTCATTTAATACATTTATTAAAAAAACATGTAAAATATCTAAATATTAAAATTAAAAATACAATGTTTAATAAGAACTAGTAGATGTTATAATAAAATAATTTTGAAAGTACAATGATGTAGTAAGAAAGTCACATCACTATAGTACATGTGGACAGCCTACGTGGACAATGAGATGGCTTGTAAACCTAGTATAATAGGTAAATTTAAATCAAAAGGTTACCCAATGCTATAATGGGTAAATTTTTCCAAAGTACAATGTCCTAATAAAAAATAATTTGAAAGTACATTGATGTAATAAGAAAAACCGAAAGTACAATGCTATAATAAAGAAATTTATGAAAGTAGATTGCTATTTTTTGCAATTTTTCCCCCAAAAGTTTAACATGAATCTCTGGTTTGTGAGAAGCAGACAATGAGACATCTCGCAAAATGTTCTATTGGGAATTGGGATTCATCGCCCCTGAGGTGACTCAATGACAAGGGTGCCTTAACAGGGGCCCCATACTCTTGGTGTCCATGAGACTGCTTAATGTATATAAACTTACTTCCTAGATTCTAATCTATGGAGCCACAGGCCTTCATGAAGGTTTGACTCATATATAGTTTACTTAATTCGTTATAATAGGCTTCTTAAGTGARACTTCATTTGGGAATATAGCATAGTTAACCAAAATTTAGTACACGAAAACTCTTATACAGGGAAGCAAGCAGCAACATCAGTAGGATAACTAAATTCATGGCATTGGCCTAAAACAAATTAATTGAATAAATATCCACTTTTGTATTTGAATGATTCATATGTTTTTCTAACATGCTTTCGATTCTTGAAGTGTTAACTGGTTTATGTTATGACCATCCATGTATTATAGGAGAAAGAATGGAGGAGGTACCACCAAAATCATTCCATGACAAAATATCTGCTTACAAGAACATGGTTCAGGAGGCATATAAGAGCAACCCTATCTCATACTGGATTCTTTTACTTCTGAGTAGTGCAGGAATGCTTATCGCTTTCCCTGCTTCTAGCCTTCTTTCTCGACTCTACTTTTCTAATGGTGGCAAAAGCAAATGGATCATTTCATGGGTATCGGTTGCTGGGTGGCCTATTCCTCTTCTTATCTTACTCCCTATGTACTTCTTCTCAAAAGCCACCCCAACTCCCCTAAACTTAAAACTCGCTCTTTCTTACATCGGTTTGGGTTTCTTAAGTGCTGCCGATAATCTTATGTATGCATACGCCTACGCCTATCTCCCGGCCTCAACTGCCTCCCTCCTGGCCTCCACAGTCCTCGTTTTTTCTGCAATTTTTGGGTATCTTATAGTCAAAAACAAGATTAATCTCTCAACCATAAACGCCATTGTGGTTATTACAGTAGCTATGGTTATCATTGCTTTGGACTCGGATTCCGACAGATTTGGATACATAACCGACGCTCAATATACGATTGGTTTCATATGGGACATTGTGGGATCAGCTCTTCATGGCCTAATCTTTGCTCTTTCTGAGCTTGTTTTTATAAAACTCTTAGAAGGAAAATCGTTTCATGTAGTCCTGGAGCAACAAGTGATGGTTTCCTTCTTTGCCTTTCTATTTACCACAATCGGGGTTGTGGTAAACAACGATTTTAACGGGATGAGTTCCGAAGCAAAAGGATTTATAGGTGGGGCAAGTGCATATTACAATGTTATCATATGGGGTATCATTACTTTTCAGTTGGGAGTTTTGGGTTCAACCGCTGTGTTATATCTATCATCCACTGTGCTAGCCGGTGTCCTTAACTCAATACGGGTGCCAATCACAAGCATTGCGGCGGTCATACTTATGCATGATCCTATGAGCGGTTTCAAGATTTTATCGCTCATCGCTACCTTCTGGGGGTTCACATGCTATATATTTGCTAGTTACCCTGCAAGTCCAGTTCCTTCACCATCTTCTAGTTAATAGTCTTGTTATATATATTCTTGCCCCCATTCTAGTTATTACTGGGTTCAGATCCTACTACGGCTTGTGGCATTCGTCCGATGTACCAATCGAGTGTCAAGAGCCGAAGGGTTGTGACCGTCTCTCTTTAGGAACATGCGTGTAAATTCGTTTGTCCTAAAACATGAAGTTGTTATTAAGGCTTACCTGTTATGAGGGCTTATTTGTGTTCTTTCATTTTCTGTTCTATTTGCTGCATGCTATATATAAAACATTCTTTATATCATTTCGTAAATCTATATACGAGATTTTAATTAAATCCATGGGGGCTGTTTGGCAATTGCTGAATGGTTTGGTGCAAAATGATTAAGTGGTCAGAATGATTAAGAGGCTCTCATGATATAGTGCAAAATGAAATATAATTGTTTGGTAATTGTATACAATGAAATTAGGGCTCTTAATGGTTAAGGGAGATCCAAGATACAAAATCATTCAGAGGGTTTTAGAACCATTAAGAGACAGACTTTTATTTTGCCAAACAAGATTCACCTCTTAACGATTCAGATGTTGCCTCTTAATGGAACTATTAAGAGGTAAACAAACAACTATTACGGATTCTATTTATCATTTTGGTTCCTTTAGATAAATGAACTTAAATGAGCTCTAATCAGGAGCACGACCTTCTAAAAAAAATTAGTGACAGGTTAAGGGATAGGTTATCATTTATCAAATACTAGTTAAGGTTGATTGGTTCGAATTGACTTTTTGCGTAAAAACGATTGCCCACTGGTCAACATACCGACGACTTTGAGGGTGGTTATACCAGTCCATATTAGTTGTACATTTAGGCTAGGGACCGAAACCAGTTATACCGTTTACATGGTTACATCTTCGGAAAGTGGGTTTTAATTAGCTCGTAGTAGAATCTTGCACATGTTCGTGCCAACACTAACAATCTATATTGGTTGCAGCTCGAATAGCTTGGTAATGGTAATGTTGCATGCAAACAATTGCTTTTTAAAGCCGATTCTCAAACATGTTTTAAAAGCTGTCATTTTTATAGCGAATCCATATCATTTGTTACAAAACTGGAAACAAATCAGAGCAGAAGTAACAACAATAAGATAACTTTTAATTACTTGCATCAATATATTTGACAAAATGTTACACAAAGAAGAAGAATAAGTTTTCAAGTATTACTACAGACAAAAACCCAACCAACAGTTATTTATTTAATTTCAAATAAATACGTGTTGGTATGAAATCAAGACAAAAAACAGTGTCTTAAAATCAACAGAAAAAGAAGGCAAAGGGAATCAAGAGGGAAGTAATAAGATCAAAATGGGACAAAAATGTACAAAAACAATGTGATGGTCATCGCTATGATAACAATGGGCGGTTATCTTTTTTTATTTTATTCGAGGTTTTACATGATTGATGATTTATATTTGAAATCAAAGAATGTTGAAAAATGTGTCTTCTTTTTGTAGAAAAAACGGTTGATTTATTATGTAATAGAAAATTTCAACCATGTCGGGAGGAGAATCCATTTCTTTCTGTGCGTGGGAGTGGGTGTGTATGTATATATACTAGTTGTGTATCCGCGCAATGCGACGGGAGCCATGAATTTTAACGATTTTGAAGTTCCACTGGTTTTATAAGATAAGATTTAACGATGATATATGTTATACTTGGTATTTACATATTAATACAATTTGAATAAATAAGAGTTATGGTTCCAATTACAGACTATCGATGAAAAAAAATTGTATGACAGTTTAAAATCCAACATATTTAAACGACTGCACAAATGTGTTCGATTTACACCAAGAGCAAAGAACCAAGAAACTTGAGTTTTAAGATAAACACTCAAAACCAATAAAGAAAACTACAAATTTGACAGATCATAAGCCATGAAAAGACCAAAAAAAGATGAGTTTTAGAATGAAATTTCAACTGCTTACTCTCTTTCTTGTTCAGAAACTCAGATTAAGGTTGAATTAATACATGTATATATATATTTATAAAAAAAAAACCAAGAACATATTAATTCAGAATATATTATACAGTGCAATTTGGACAGCCTAACTCCAAAATATATAGTATATATATAAACAAATAACTATAAAAGTATAAATCGTAAATATTAAAAATATTTTTTCACAATATATATAATATATAATAATATAATTAAGTTAAAAACTATTCAATATTCGACTCATTTCGAATGTATTAACGAGACGATTATAATGGTGTAACTTGTTAAAATAAAATTGTATTTTTTAAACATGTCTTAATTGATATACGATTATGTATATTAATTTGATAAAGGTTTAAAATGAAACATTTAAAAGTAAAGGACGTAAAGTAAATTAATTAACTAATTATAGTATATAAAGTGTAAATTTAAAATTATAATTTAAAAAAAATTGGGTTGTGAGAGGGGAGTGTATGTGAGGAGAGGAGGGGGTGAAAAAGTGATATAAAGGGTATATTGGTCATTTACTATTTTAAGACTTTAAGACTTTTGTTAAATTTGTTTTATAAGATAGTATATATATATATATATATATATATATATATATAGACTTAGAATCATGTGAGATCAAGGGTTTTTCATGAGACCCGTAAGATCAATTCTCAACCCTTGGATTAGATCTACAATATGAATATTCATAATTACAAAATTGCCACGAGACTTCTCAATAATCACAAAATTGTCACCGTGCAACTTTAGACAATTAAATCATTAGCTTATAAAGTTGATCAATGAACATAAATTGGTCTTACAGGTCTCACGAAAAACCCTT